AAGAATAAAGGAAAGGAAGAAAGAGGAAGAGGAAGAGGGAGAGAGAACAGGGGTGTTGCTTTATTGCCCGGGCTAGAATGCAGTCTAAAACTGGGTATGCCTGTAATTGTGTTTAATAATAGAGACATAAAAAAAAAAATGAGGGAAGAAAATAATTAACAAGCAGCCAACCAATATTTCATTTAAACCTGTAAATACGTGTGATGTAGTACTGATAAGAGTGTATATTTTGTGTATTGAAAGTGGAGAGTTCTATGAATGTTAATTAAGTCTACTTGTTCCAGATCTGAGTTCAAGTCCTGGATATCGATGTTAACATTCTGTCTCATTGATCTATCTAATATTGATGTTGAAGTCTCCCGCTATTATTGTGTGGGGGTCCAAGTCTCTTTGTAAGTCTTATATATCTGGGTATTTCTGTATTGGGTGCATATATGTTTAGGATCTTTAGCTCTTCTTGTTACATTGATCCTTTTATCTTTATGTAATATCTTTCTTTGCTTCTTTTGATCTTTGTTGCTTTGAAATCTATTTTATCAGCAAAAATTGCAACTCCTGCTTTCCATTTATTTATTTTAGCTCTCCATTTGGTTGGTAAATTTTTCACCATCCCTTTGTTTTGAGTCTTTATGTATCCTTGCATGTGAGATGGATCTGGATGTAGCATACCAATGGGTCTTGGCTTTTTTTGCCTGTCTGTGTCTTTGGATTGGGGGATTTAGTCGATTTAAATTTAGAATTAATAACAATATATGTGTGTTTGATACTGTCATTTAATGTTAGTTACTGTCATTTAATGGCTGTTTTGCCCATTAGTTGATGCAATTTCTTAAATATGTTGATGTTCTTTATTTTTTGGTATTTATTAGAAAGGCTGATACTGGTTGTTCCTTTCTATTTGTAGTGGTTCTTTCAGAAGCTCTTGTAAAGCAGGCCTGGTGGTGATGAAATCTCTGAGTGCTTGCTTGTTCACAAAAGATTCCATTTTTCCTTCGCTTGTGAAGCTTAGTTTGGCTGGATATAAAATTCTGGGTTGAAAGTTTTTTTCTTTAAGGATGTTGAATATTGGCCCCCACTCTCTTCTGGCTTGCAGGGTTTCTACTGAGAGATCTGCTGTGAGTCTGATGGGCTTCCCTTTATGGGTAACCTGACCTTTCTCTCTGGCTGCCCTCAGTATTTTCTCTTTCATTTCAACCCTGGTGAATCGGGCGATTATGTGCCTTGAGGTTGGTCTTCTTGAGGAATATTTTTGTGGTGTTCTCTGTATTTCCTGGAGTTGAATATTGTCCTGCCTTGCTAGGTTGGGAAAGTTTTCCTGAATAATATCCTGAAGCGTATTTTCCAGCTTGGATTGATTCTCTTCGTCACATTCAGGTACACCTATCAAATGTAGATTAGGTCTTTTCACATAGTCCCATATTTCTTGGAGACTTTGCTCGTTCTTTTTTATCCTTTTTTCTCTAATCTTGTCTTTTTGTTTTATTTCATGAAGTTGGTCTTCGACCTCTGATATCTTTTCTTTTACTTGATCAATTTGGCTGTTAAAACTTGTGCATAGTTCGCGAAATTCTCGTGTTGTATTTTTCAGCTCCATTAATTCACTTATATTCCTCTCTAAATTGTGTGTTATTGTTAACATTTCTTCAAACCTTTTTTCAAAGTTCTTGGTTTCTTTGCATTGGGTTAGAACAAGTTCTTTTAATTCCCAGAAGTTTCTTATCATCCACTTTTTAAAGCCAGCTTCTGCTAATGGAACACAGTCTTTCTCCATCAGGCCTTGTTCTGTTTCTGATGAGGAACTGTGATCCCCTATAGAGGGAGAGGCGTTCTGAGTTTGGGTATTCTCAGCCTTTTTAGGCTGGTTTCTTCCCTTCGTTATAGATTTATCCATCTGTGGTCTTTATAATTACCGTCTTTATAGTTGGGTTTCTGAACTATAGTTCCTTTCTTTGTTCTAATTCAGCCCAGTCCCCGCCCTCATCTATGCTTTCCCCTCCACTCCCTGCCTATATTTGTGTGTCAGAGTTTTTTGTGTGTATTTGTTTTTTGAAATGGAGTCTTGCCCTGTTGCCCAGGTGCCCAGGCTGGAGTGTAGTGGCCCAATCTTGCTGCAACCTCTGCCTCCTGGGTTCAAGTGATTCTCCTGCCTCAGCCTCCTGAGTAGCTGAGATTACAGATACCAGCCACCCTGCCTGGCTAGTTTTTTGTATTTTTAGTAGAGATAGGGTTTTGCGATGTTGGCCAGGCTGGTTTTGAACCCCTGGCCTCAAGCAATCCACCTGCCTTACCCTACCAAAGTGCTGGGATTATAGGTGTGAGCCACGGCACCCAGCCTATATTTGTGTTTTGCACATCTGGGCCCGGTTTAGAACTCTCTCTCTCTTTTATTTATTTTTTTTTGAGACAGAGTCTTGCTGTGTCACCCAGGCTGGAGTGCAATGGCATCATCTTGGCTCACTGCAACTTCAGCCTTCCGGGTTCAAGCAATTCTCTTGCCTTAGCTTCTCAAGGAGCTCGGATTATAGCCACTCGACACCATGCCTGGCTAATTTTTTTGTATTTTTAGTAGAGATGGGTTTCACCATGTGGGCCAGACTGCTCCTGAACTCCTGACCTCAGGTGATCCACTTGCCTCGGCCCCCCCAAAGTGCTGAGATTACAGGTGTGGGCCACTGAGTCCGGCCTGTCACTCTTTTATAACAAAGTTTTTTAAAAGTATAATATACAGAAAAGTGCAGATAATGCATAAGGATACTGCTCAATTAATTTTTAAAAAGTGGCACACCTGTGTAGCCAGTATGGCGTCTCCTCTCTCTCAACACATATTTGAAATCAACCCTCAGCTTGTCCTCAATGAACTGAGCCTACAGAAAGCCCTGAGCTGCCTTCTTTCCCTGGTTTCTCAGTTATCACTGGGAGAATCAAAAAGGAGCTCTGTTTTGGAGCTTGGAGGTTTAGAAGCAAGGGTCTTATTGGTGGTTTTAGCAGTTACACTGCTTTGTTCCCAAACTGGCAAAGATGATGCCCCAGCATTGAAGGGCAGGGGCAGAGCAGTCCATGCCCCAAAATGTTTGCCTGTGAGCCATTCAAGTTCTCACTTAGTGCTGATGAAATCAGTGCAAATGTTTTGCCTAGTTTTTATTTTTTTTTTTAATTGTATATGTATTTTTTTTTAGGTAGAGACAGGGCCTCACCATGTTTCCCAGCCTGGTTTCAAACCCCCGGGCTCATGTGATCCACCTGCCCCAGCCTGCCAAAGTGCTGGGATTCCAGGTGTGAACCACTGCACCTAGCCTGTTTTTCCTGTTACAGCCACAAAGAGACCTGAAAATTCAAGAGTGGCTCTTTAGCTCTGTCATCTGGCTCCTCCTCCTGCTCAGTCAGTGTGGGGCCTTCATGCCCTTAACCCTACTGGGAGGCAGAGCATGACTTTCCACATGCTTCTTCTCTTCTTTTCCACCTCCACCGTGGTCCATCCTCAGAGCCTCTTTTATTCCTGGCTCCCATGATCTGGCCTTTTTTCTGAATGACTCCCTCTGTTGGATTCCCTGACAGGTGATTGAACTGGGGAGAATGTTGGGAGGCAAGCCCTCATAACACAATAATTAGTTCTTTAAAAGCCTAGCTTGGCTGGGTGTAATGGTATGTGCCTGTAATCCTAGCTACTGGGGAGGCTGAGGCCAGAGGATCACCTGAGTCCAAGAGTTCAAGACCAGCTTGGGTAACATAGCAAGACCACGTCTTTTTTTTTTTTTTTTTTTGAGACAGAGTCTCAGTCTGTCACCCAGGCTGGAGTGCAGTGGTGCGATTTTAGCTCACTGCAACTTCCACCTCCCGGGTTCAAGCGATTTTCCTGCCTCAGCCTCCCGTGTGCCACCACACCCAGATATATATATATATATATATATGTTTTTTTTTTTTAGTTGAGATGGGGTTTCACCATGTTGGCCAGGCTGATCTTGAACTCCTGACCTCAGGTCTGCCCAACTGGGCCTCCCAAAGTGCTGAGATTACAGGTGTGAGCCACTGTGCCCACCCAAGACCACATCTTAAAAAAAAAAAAGAACAGAAAAAAGAAAAAAAAGTTCAAAAGCCCAGCTTTACAATCCTTTGCACATTGTCATGTAATGTAATAGAATGTCTCCTTCCTGTTAAATTATCGATGTCTGGAGAATTCAATAAACAAACAAAAAGCTACTCTGCTGTACTTAGGTTCAAAGCGGAATTCTGGTAAATGAATCTTTTCTTTCTTCTTTTTTCTTTCTTTTTTTTTTTTTTTCCGAGATGGAGTCTTGCTCTGTCACCCGGGCTCGAGTACAGTGGTGTCATCTTGGCTCACTGCAACCTTCGCCTCCCAGGTTCAAGCAATTCTCCTGCCTCAGCCTCCTCAATAGCTGGGATTATAAGCGCGCGCCACCACACCCTACTAATTTTTGTATTTTTAGTAGAGACAGTGTTTCACCATGTTGGCCAGGCTGGTCTCCAATTCCTGACCTCGTGATCTGCCCGCTTCGGCCTCCCAAAGTGTTGGGATTACAGGCGTGAGCCACCGTGCCTGGCCTGAACTGACTATTTTTTTTTTTAAAGTACTTTAATTCAGAAGTAATAACAAAACAACCAGGAAAAAGAAAACAATTAGAATTAAACACACACAGAGAGAAAAGGAAAAAAGGTATGGAAGAATATGGATGTGTGGTATTTATTCATTTATTTTTATTTTATTTTATTTTGAGACAGTGTCTCACTTTGTCACCAGGCTGGAGTGCCATGGTGCCATCTTGGCTAACTGCACCCTCAACCTCCCAAGTTCAAGCAGTCCTCCTGCCTCAGCCTCCAAGTAGCTGGGACTGTAGGTGCTGACCACCACGCCCAGCTAATTTTTGTATTTTTGATAGAGATAGGGTTTCACCATGTTGCCCACGCTGGTCTTGAACTCCTGAGCTCAATCAGTCCACCTGCCTTGGCCTCCCAAAGTGTTAGGATTACAGGCATGAGCCACGGTGCCTGGCTAGGGTGTGTATATTTAACTTTCAATCATGTAAACATTCAAACATATAAAAAAAGATAAAGAAAATAATATAATAAATTTCCTTTTATTCATTACCCAGCTTCAAAAATATTGACTTATGGCCACTTTTGTTTCATGTGTGCCCTTACCCACTTCTTTCCCCCTGCAAATGTTGGGTATCATATCATTTCATCCATAAATCTATGAGTAGCTTGCAGTATATTAAGGTCATGAAGTGCTATACCAATCTGTTTCTGATCTCGAAGCTTTCCTGAGCATAGTTTCCTTAACCTTAGCAAGCACTTTTCTACATAGTTATTAAATGAACGCATGACCAAACACTACTCTTCAGTCTCTGTCAGAGAACTGTCCCAAACCTGTCTCAACTGTCAGAGAGCAATCAATGTAAACTTTATGCCCAACCCCTTGCTTCTCCCTGCTGGGTCTAGTGCTGGTCTGAGGATCTGCCTTTTCACAGCAAAGCCGCAGAGACTGACCCTCTGGTTTAGACTCAGTAGTCCAGATTTAGCTATACCAGGAGGAGATAATCTATGTAAAGCAGTTTGCCCAGGCCCCAGCTCATGGTAAGGACTCAGTAAATGTTAGATGCTAGGAATGATGACAACGATGGTAACGATGATGACAACGACCTAACAAAGAATCCTGTCAAGGACTCAGGCCCAAAAAGGGCACAATAAAGATCTGCCCGCCTTGGTCTCCCAAAGTGCTGGGATTACAGGTGTGAGCCACCGTGCTCAGCCAGGACACTGACTTATACAAATCCATACTATTGTCAAGAGAGCCCTGGTTAGTATCTGTTTTTATGTTTTATTTCCTTCACATGATGGAAAGCTTCTTGAAGGCAAGACCCATATCTTGCTTATCTGCAGAGTGATAGACACATGGTGAGTTTTTAAACACTGACTTTTAGAACTAATCCTGTCTTAAATCACCTCTTCCTCAAAAGGTATTTTTAGGAGGGAAGGGGTATCAAATGAAATATAGCTGCAGGTGATATAAATGTCTGGGAAATTATAGCAGCCAAATAAAGAAAACCACCAGTTTGAAGACATGGTAGTGGGGGAGTCTGGACAAATGTCAAAGATAAAATAACCTGTTTAAACTTTGACTAACCTATACAAAATAAAGTACATTAAATAACGTGGGTCAAAAAGTGTCTAACAAATCCAGGCACAGAAATCATGGGAAAGATAGCTTTGTTAGCACTAAAAACTAGAAACTGATTAACCTCCCAATCTGGGAAACATGTAGCAAATATATAAAGCACATCTTTATAACCAAGGTGAATACTCTTTTTGTTTGTTTAGACATGAGTTCCTGCTTTGGATAGTTGGGTGAATAAATAAAAGAGACTGTCACTGCATTTAAGATCTGGAGTTAGACTGTGTGTAAGAGAACACTGGTGCCATAAGATATTACAGAAATGATAGAAGGTGATGCCCAAGGCTAGGTTATACAGAATATGTGGCTTCTGCCTTAGTCTGCGAAAAATTTGCCACCATGTTGTATGGTCCCGTAAGCAGCCCTATGGAGAGATTCACATGCAAGGAACTAAAGTATTCTGCCATCACTCAGCCCCAAATTGCCAGCCACATGAGTGAGCCATCTTGGAAGCAGACCCTCTAGCCCCAGTTAAACCTTCAGATGACTAGAGCCACGGCCAACACTGATTGCAATCTTGTGAGACCCTGGGTAGAACACTCAGCTAAATTGTTCCTTGATTTCTAATGCATGTGAAATTTTAAAAAATGCTTATTATTGTTTTAAGCTGTTAAGTTTCAGGGTCATTTGTTATGCAACAACAGATAACTAATACAGATGCATACCCTCGATCTAATGATGAAGAAACATCATGGCCAGGTGAGGTGGCTCATGCCTATAATCCTAACACTTTGGGAGACCGAGATGGGCATATCACCTGAGATCAGGAGGTTGATATCAGCCTGGCCAACATGGTGAAAACTTATCTGTACTAAAAATACAAAAGTTAGCCAGGCATAGTGGTGGGTGCCAATAATCTCAGGCAATTACTCGGGAGGGTGAGGCAGAAGAATCGCTTGAACCCGGGAGGTAGAGGTTGCACTGTGCTGAGATCGCACCATTGCACTCCAGC